TTTAGCTCTTCATTGAAATGATGTAAATTTATTTCGTTTAGTAAATTTCTAGAGATGTTAGTGTTCATAACCACTGAACCCTTGTTGCCATTCATACATCTTAACTGCCAATTAGTAAATTGGTTTCATTTGTGAATACAATGAGCTCAAACTGTAACAAGATAATGTACCACATTTGGACAGCAATTTTATAATGTCCCATTTGTCTTTATGGGATTTTGTGACTTTACTATGTTACAGTTGACTGAGAAGTTTATGCTGAAGGGCTAACACAGAACCATCTTTCATCCCCTTGTGCAAAGTATATCCCTCTAAGAAATGCCTGCGGTGGCTGGGCTTGGTGGCTCAGCCTGTAATCCCAGCACTTTGGGAAGCCGAGGTGAGTGGATTGCCTGAACCCGCGGTTCGAGACCTGCCCGGGCAACTTGATGAGACCACATCTCTACAACAAATCAAAAAGTAGCCGGGCGTGGGAGCGCACGCCTGTAGTTCCAGCCACTTGGAAGGCTGAGGCGGAAGGATCGCCGGAGCCCAGCAGGTCAAGGCTGCGGTGGCCGGGAGCGGCCATTGCACTCCAGTCTGGGTGACTGAGTGAGACTCCAACTCAAAAAGTAAATAAATAAATAAATAAAAGAAATGCCTGCGGTTTGTATGGAAAATATTGAGGTTCTTGTGTTGTCTGGAGTGTGAGCTGGCACCAGGGTCACCATGGGTCCTCCCTTGTCCCTCGTCAGCAGGAAGCCGCTTAGCTGGAGAGCTCTGAAGTTGAGGCTTTTTGCCTGTCCCCTCCTGCAGCCATCACACCTGTCCACCTTTAAACTGCCCTCCTTCACCTTTATTTGTATAGACAGGGAAGAGTTTAGGAAGCAACTGAGTTTTTAAAGAGTCTGAGTAGAAAAGTCATAGTTCTAGAGAAGCTGGGACTTCGGTGCCCTGTCCTGGGGGCCTCACTTTCCTTTTTGTCATGTCATCTGGAAGGACCCATTAAACCTGCTTCATCAACCCCAGGTTTCTTCTAGAGTTGCTGTTGATACTTTTTTTAAAATTGTATGTTTCTCCCTGTACTTTTTGGCAATAATTGATCAATTAGATATCTCAGTGAAGTTTCTCAGTAACAGTGTTGCTGTTTTACATTTTTTTACTTTAGCTTTTATTCTGTATAATTGGCAAAACCGGAGAATTACTACAAATATGAATGTGAACTTTTTCTGTGTCTGCTACCTCCGTGACCAACCACACTCTCCCTGTAGGGAAAAGACCATTTTCTCTCATCTGTCACTGGCTATCGCTGCCATTTGGTCTCGTGTCACCATCGGCCTTCAGACCCTCATCATCATTATGCTTTTAACCTGTTTTTCCTCTTTTCAGTCACCCTGAAGCCACAGGTTTCCAAGCCACCCCTCCTCCCATGACTCGTGTGGCCCTGCTCTCTGCATGCTCTCGTCTGCCAACCCCTGTGCTCCCCCCAGGCCTTTCCACTTCATCCTCTGGGACGCTGGGAGATGGCAGCGGCAGAAGCCCTGTGTCCTCAGCCTCTCCCATGAGCATCCCCTTTCCTTCCCCCCAACCTTTTCCTTCTTGCTGTAGCAGCCTGCCTTTCTCTCACAGCCATACCAAGTGCTGCCTTTTCCCTCTAATAGCTCTTGGACCATTGTGCCAGGACATGGGATACCATCATGTCACGTCCAGCCTTTCTCCCCTCTTCCATGGAAAGCCCCAGTCGTGAACCCCAGATCATCAGACTAGACTACCCACCAGCTCTCCTTTCTAATCTGCAGGCACCCCAGACTTACCCTGATAGGTTTTCCTTGAAAGCTCCCTGCTCACTTGAGTAACACTCTCAAATCCTTCATGGTTTTAGTAGCCATGTGGCCAATCCCTTCTATACCCTGTCCCCTCCATTCCCTGACCTCTTCCAGTGAGTTAGTCCTCCACCATGTCACGGGCACTTATTCACATAGTCTTACCTAGACCTGTCCTTACAACACTGCCGCTCTTCAGAGTCTCATTTCAGGCATCTAACTGACCACCACCTCTTCCACTAGGTACACCCCAGTACCCTCACTCTGTAATTTTTTTTTTTTTTTTTTGAGTTGGAGTCTCACTCGGTCCCCCAGACTGGAGTGCAGTGGCTGCTCCCAGCCACCACAGCCTCGCCTGCTGGGCTCCGGTGATCCTTCTGCCTCAGCCTTCCGAGTAGCCGGAATTACAGGCATGCGCTACCACGCCCAGCTAATTTTTTTGATTTATTGTAGAGATGAGGTCTCACCAAATTGCCCAGGCGGGTCTCGAACCCGCGGGCTCAGGCAATCCACTCACCTCAGCCTCCCAAAGGCGCAGGATTACAGGCTGAGCCACTGAGCCTGGCTCACTCTGTCATTTTTAATTATTTATTTATTTTTTTGAGTTGGAGTCTCACTCTGTCGCTCAGGCTGGAGTGCAGTGGCACACTCATAGCCACTCCAGCGTTGGGCTGCTGTGCTCTGGCAGTCCTTCAGCCTCAACCTTCCATGTAGCCGAGCTACAGGAGCGCTGTACCACGCCCGGCTAATTTTTTTTTTATTTACCGTAGAGATGAGATCTCACCAAGTTGCCCAGGCTATTCTCGAATTCATGGGCTCAGGCAATCCGCTCACCTCAGCCTCCCAAAGTGCTGGGATTACAGGCTTGAACCACTGTGCCTGGCCACTCTGTCATTTTTTAAACTTCACCACACCTGTAACCTGTTGATCCATCTTTTCAGATTTTCACATCTTGATTTTATTTGTTTATTTGGAGTCGGAGTCTTGCTCTTTTGTCCAGGCTGGAGTTCAGTGCCATGATCACAACTTGTCACAACCTCATCCTCCCATGTAGCTGGGACTACAGGCATATGCCACCACACCCAGCCTTTTTTTTTTTTTTTTGTAGAGATGAAATGTCACCGTTCTCCAGGCTGGTCTTGAATTCCTGACCTCAAGCGATCCTTCCGCCTTGGCCTCCCAAGGGGCTGGGATTATAAGCGTGAGCCACTGTGCCCCACTTGGTTCCCACATCTCTTTCCAGTTCCCAGTCTATTTTTCTGCTCATTGTAGCAAAATTTCTCAGAAGACTTGGCTTTCTCTAATTTCTCTCCTTGCATTCTGAAACTCACTCCAGGCAGGCTTTCTCCCCTGTGACTCCACTGAAACTGGAATCCAGTGGTCAGTGCTCAGTCCTGATCTCTGTCCCCATCAGTACCCTTTGATGCAATTGAGCAATCCCTCTTCCTGAGGAGCCTTTGTCCATTTAGCTTCCAGGACTCTTCGAGTTTTCTTTACAGTTTCTTTGCTGCTTCCTCTTCATTTTCCCAGCCTTTTGGTGGGGCGGTATCCAGGGCTTAGTCCTGGGGCTCTTCCCTGTAGCTGTGCTCACTCCCTTGTCAGGGCTTTCAAGTACCACCTACATATTGATGACCGAGTTTTACTCTTCACTGCTGAACTCCAGAGTTGTATGTCCAGCTTCTTACTTAGAGTCATCACCTGGCTGCCAGTGTCATCTCACATGTCTAAAAGCAAACTCTTGCTCTGACCTTTCTTTACCACTCCCCTTGTCTCCGTGAAACATCCCCATCCTTCCATTTGCTCGGACCAAACGTCTTGGCATCTCCTTGTTCCTGTCTTTAAAAGCTCATGTCTGGTATCAAGTCAGGTTGGCTTTACGTCAGTGTATGTCTAGGATTCGACTGCTTCTCATCTCCACTGCTACCACCTGTGTCCAAGTTGTCATCATCTCTTGTCTGGAATCCTGCAACCACTCTTGGGACCCTGTTTCCACCCTTGCCTCTGCCATTCCATCTTTTCTCAACCCAGCAGCCAGTGTGATCCTTACACTTAAAATTTGTCAGTGTGCAAGTTAAATCATGTCCTCGGTAAAAGCCAAAGACCTCAAAACTACCTCATACTAGGAATTGAAATAAATCCTTTCCGTTGTTAGCATCACTTAGTATCTATGTTTATACTTGAAAGAAGTAAAACATGTTTGTCTCGTTTTCAGTAAATTACATTGGCCTCTTTTGGATTAAGTTGTTATCTTTATTATTGATATTCTTCAAGACACAAAAAGATTGTGTCAGGTTACATTTTTTTCTACAAATTACAAAAATCTCTGTGTTAGCTTATTAACATTTTTATATTTATCTTTTGCTAAACACATAATTGTATCTTAGATTTGAAGAGTATCCTTTGTCGTGTTTCAGGGTTTTTATGAAAGAGACACCTTGCTGTAAAACTGCATTGCCCACCAAGAAATTGCATCCTTCTTTCCCTTATGTCTACCGTATTCATTCTGAAGTAAAAACCACAAGGAAATAAAATTGAATTGGATCTTTTCTTTGAGCTCAGTGTTCCAAATGGTTTTTGTTCTGAATGATAGTTCAGACTAATGGGATTCAGAATTTTAGGAAGGAGAAAACTTGAGTACCTTCTGCAAGTCACTGTCCTTGACGAGATCTTCATAACCATTTTTTTTCACATAGGCTTACTTTTTAGGTGGGAACAGAGGCTCTGGGAGATTAAGTACATAATCAAGATCGCACAAGTGAGAAATCTGGGGTTAAATCCAGATCTGACTCTCCTGCTGTACACCCGCCTTATCAACGTGGCTGTTTAACTGGTTTTGTAAGCTAATTTATCACTGGCAAGACACTGAACACCTATCAGTTTCCTAAATGTGATGGTCATGGATAAAAAGGAGATCCATTAACTATAATGCTTTGAATATTTTCCTTTTTTCACCTGACAAATTATTCTTTAAAAATCTTACTATTAGCCCCTTTCTCTTAAACTTACCACTAAGAATTCTAAAATGAAACCATGTCTATAAACTGTTAACACTTGGGGCGGAGAGGACATGAGGGATTGAGTCACTGCTCAGAACTTTAAAAACCATTCTAAAAAATTCCACATATTCAACTGAATTGCTCGAGTCTTTGTGGTGCATTTGTCAACAAGGTGTCTTATAATTGTGTGTTATCTCTGCAGTGATCCCGCCATGAAGCAGTTTCTGCTATACTTGGATGAGTCCAATGCCCTGGGGAAGAAGTTCATCATTCAAGACATTGATGACACGCACGTCTTTGTAATAGCAGAGTTGGTTAATGTCCTGCAGGAGCGAGTGGGTGAATTAATGGACCAAAATGCTTTTTCTCTTACCCAGAAGTGAAAATATTCAATGCTGACCACTTAAGGAGTTATAAGCAGCAAATGTGAAGGATGCACCGCTCAGTATCTCATGTAACTGTTTGATCTTAGAGGATCACTTAGGAGCTTACTGCAGGAGACAGGGATCATTTGTTCAGAAAAAGACCCTGAACTGATTGCGTTGTACCATAGAATTAAAAAATAAAATCTTCAACAGTTGGCTGTAATTTGGTTTTTATTATCCTTTATTAAAATATAAATGTCAATATTTTCCCTGCTCTTTTAATACCAATGCAATAATATATTAAGATATAACGGGCCAGGCTCGGTGGCTCAGCCTATAATCCCAGCACTTTGGGAGGCCGAGGTGAGTGGATCACCTGAGCCTGTGGGTTTGAGACTAGCCCAGGCAACTTGGTGAGACCTCATCTCTACGATAAAATTGTAAAAAATTAGCCAGGTGTGGTAGTGCATGCTTGTAGTTCCTGCTACTTGGAAGGCCGGGACTGAAAGATTGCTGGAGCCCTGCGGGTCAACACAGGTAGCTGTAAGCGTGTCACTGCACTTCAGCCTGGGTGACAGACTGAGACTCCCAACTCAAAAAAAAAAAAAATTATAATGGAGTGTGCTTTTAAATTATCAGTGTAGGCTGGGCGTGCTGGCTCACAACTGTAATCCTAGCACTTTAGAGGGCCAGGGGGAGAGGATTGCCTGAGCCCGGGGGTTCGAGACTAACCTGGACAATTTGGCAAGATCTCATCTCTACAATAAATCCAGAAAAAAAAATTAGCCAGGCATGTGGTGCTTCTGTAGTACCAACTACTTGGAAGGCTGAGGCAGAGGATTGCATGAGCCCAGCAGGTTGAGGTTGTGGTAACCGTGAGCGTGCCACTGCACTCCAGCCTGGGTGGCAAAGTGAGACTCTGACTCAAAAAAAAAAATCAGTGAAGAATGAAAATCAGTTCTATGTGTGCCTTATGAGAATCCCTATTAAATTTATCTAAAGTGGAAACAAGTCAGTGTTATAGGAAGTGACAGATTAAAATATATTACATATAGTTCTCTGATCAGAGGGCAGAAACTATTAAAGACAGTGTCATGAGGATAGGAGTTTTCCAAGAAAAGCAAACTGAAATTTTATTAAACTCAATGTACCTGCTTCCTTATGGTTGTTCAAAGCACCTGTATACCATTATCACTCAATGGATTACTGGCTCTGGAAGTCTCCACAATTAGGTATAATTATCATTCCCACCCATATAACTCAGTCTACTCAAATTTGATTCCCACATAGCAATGCAGTTTTGGTGGGTTACTGATGGCTTGGTACTAAAAATATGTCTCTTTCAGCTGTACTGAAGTGTTTTCACATATTTCAGTCATCCTAAATCCATTTTTAGTATTCCTCAGACATAAGTTGCCTAGTACCTTTTATATTAACATGGAACTCAGAGGAAATATCTCTTAGAATCCCAGGGTTTAAAAGATATTAGGAGAAAGCTACACTGAAACATTGAACAGTGACTGCAGAAGGTATTAAGCGAAGGAAAATATTTTGTTGGGGTTTTTTTGTTTGCTTATTTGTTTGAGTCAGAGTCTTACTCTGTTGCCAAGGCTGGAGTGCAGTGACATGCTCATGGCCACCACAACCTCAAACTGCTGGGCTCAGGTGATCCTTCCCCCTCAGACTTCCAAGGAACTACAGGCATGCGCCACTCCCAAAGTGCTGGGATTATAGGCGTGAACCATCAAGCCCGTCCTGCCTTACCCAGTTTCTGCCAATATTCCTTGACTTGTGTAAGTTTTTAGATGAGCAGATTTTCACATCTTTAGTACCTATTCCATTTGCTTTCTTCAGAAACACCTAATCATTAGTTAATTTTCCATGATTAACTCCTTATATTCATTGCTTTTTTATTTTCTGTTCCCGAATGCTTTTCAGTTTGTCACTAAACGATTTACTTTAAAGAAAACCTATGGCCAAGTGCAGTGGCTCACACCTGTAATCCCAGCACTTTGGAAGGCGAAGGTGAGAGGATTGCCTGAGCCCAGGGTTTGAGACCAACCTGGGCCACATGGCGAGACCTCATCTCTACAGTAAATCAAAAATTAGCTGGGCATGGTAGCTCGCGCCTGTAGTTCTGGCTACTTGGAAGGCTGAGGCAGAAGGATTGCTGGAGCCCAGCAGGTTGACGCTGGGATGGCCGTGAGCATGCCACTGCACTCCAGTCTGGGTGACAGAGTGAAAGTCCGACTCCAAAGAAAAAAGAAAAAACCTGTTCCTCCTGCTTCCAGTATGACTTTCTCTTGGCTACTGAGCTTTGGGTTACATTGCACACCCAACTACTCCTTGTCACAACCTGTTTTTGTTTAATGAAGATAAGGTTCATTTGTATCTTTTAATTTTAATTTTTTTGAGTTGGAGTCTTACTCTGTCGCCCAGGCTAGAGTGTAGTGGCGCGCTCACGACCACCACAGCCTCGACCTGCTGAGTTTAGGCAATCCGCCTCAGCCTTCCAAGTAGCTGGAACTACAGACACATGCCACCACGCCCGAGTAATTTTTTGTGATTTATTGGGATGAAGTCTCACCAAGTTACCCAGACTGGTCTTGAACCCCCAGGCCCAGGCAATCCTCTCATCTCGGTTTCCCAAAGTGCTGGGATTACAGGCTGAGTCACTGTTCCCTGCCTATATCTTTTATTTTTTTATTTTTTTGTTTTTTGTTTTATTTTTTATTTTTTGAGTTGGAGTCTCACTCTGTCACCCAGACGAGTGCAGTGGCCGCTCCCAGCCACTGCAGCCTCAACCTGCTGGGCTCCGGCGATCCTTCCACCTCAGCCTTCCAAGTAGCTGGAACTACAGGCGCGCGCTACCACGCCCGGCTAATTTTTTGATTTATTGTAGAGATGAGGTCTCGCCAAGTTGCCCAGGCGTGTCTAGAACCTGCGGGCTCAGGCAATACACTCACCTCGGCCTCCCAAAGTGCTGGGATTACAGGCTGAGCCACCGAGCCCAGCCTTATCTTTTATTTTATTTATTTATTTATTTATTTTTATTTTTAATTTTTGAGTTGGAGTCTCACTCGGTCACCCAGACTGGAGTGCAGTGGCCACTCCCGGCCACCGCAGCCTCGACCTGCTGGGCTCTGGCGATCCTTCCGCCTCAGCCTTCTGAGTAGCTGGAATTACAGGCGCGCGCTACCACGCCCAGCTAATTTTTTGATTTATTGTAGAGATGAGGTCTCGTTGCCCAGGTGGGTCTCGAACCCGCGGGCTCAGGCAATCCACTCATCTCAGCCTCCCAAAGGCGCGGGATTACAGGCTGAGCCACCGAGCCCGGCTTATCTTTTATTTTTAATTGAAGTTCTCTTCTTTATGCACAATACACATTCATTGCAGGCAGACTGAAAAAAGGAAGCAAAAGAAGAAAATATAGTTCATCCTTAATCTCACCACTCAGGAATAACCACAATTTTAAAAACAGAATTTTTTTTGAGTCGAGGTCCCACTCTGCTACCCAGGCTGGAGTGCAGCAGCACAATCATGGCTCACTACAGCCTCACCTCCTGGGCTCAGGCAATCCTTCTGTCTTAGCCTTCTGAGTAGTTGAGACTACAGGTGTGCACCACCATGCCTGGTTATCTTTTTGTAGAGACAAGGGCTCAGTGTGGCCTAGACTGGTCTCAAACTCATGGCTTCAAACAATCCTCCTACTTTGGCCTTCTAAAGCTCTAGGATTACATGCGTGAGCCACTGCATCCAGCCTAAAATTTTAATGACAATCTTCAAGCTGTTTTCTAATAATATAAAAGCAGTCCTGCTCCCTCTCCCAATGAGATCACACTGCTTTGACCCTTGCAGTGTTTCATGATCTTTTGTTTGTTAAAAACATGAAACAGAATTTCTATTTCAGAGGAAAATGTTTCTTCTGATTTCTTGAGTCTGTTAGTTTAACGTGGGGAGCTTTTAAAAAGTATTGATGCCTGGCCTCAGCCCCCAGTTGTTCAAATGTAGTTGTTCTGGGACAGGACCCAAGCATCCCCATTTTAAAAAGTTTTCCCTGGTGTTTCCAGTCAGAGCTGAGAACTCCTGGACCAGTGTGTACAACAGAGACTCTGGATAGGAGTTTTGTTTTGGGGTTTGTTTGGTTTTCAGCAGGCTAATTTACCAGCACAGCTGTTTCTTTTTACTGCCAAGGAAATGCTGCGCCTACCCAGCAGGGAAGCAGCTTTTGTTAAAATTCACTAATTAGATAACTGATTCCCCAAGTCATTGCTGGATCTTAACTGATGGATGTCACCTTGGTTGGGATCCTTCCGTTAGATTGAGAAAAGTAATTGCAGCACTCTTAACTGGGTAGGGCTGTTTTAAGAACAAATTCACTGTAAGATATTATAGTAATTTACTTATTGACTGTTTACCATGAATCATGTTTTTAGTAAAACAAAATCTTAGGCTATGTTAGGATATCACTTCTCAGGCAGGGTCTTATGAGGCGGATTTACTCAGTATTAACCTATCATAGTTACTCCTCTGTTGCCCTAAAACCCTCAGTAACTTTTGCGCTTACCTTGGATGTGTGTGATTTGCATTTTGCTAAGTTAAGGACAGAAGTTGACTATCACACCCCAAAACAGGGAGAGCAGAGGCAGAACCGTGAGAAATGCACACACAAAACTAATCTAGTGACATGAAAAGTTTACAGAAATCTTGAACTTCAGAGTACATGGAAGGGAGGGGTTAGTCCTATGTCAGTCTTATCAAATACATTAAGTCAGGCACCATTTGCAGTTGTGATTTATCAGTAATGCATCTTGGAAATTTTGGTAGAAAGTACCGTATCTATGAGTGTTTAAACCTTTATGGCTACACTGGGTAACTGGTCCAAAAAATGCTGTGAAAATTTTCCGGTATAAAATTATTGCAGTCATGATTGGGGCAGGATATGCCACTGAGGGCTTCTTTATTGGCGCCTCTCAGACTTTACAGGACATGTAGATCATCTGGAAATCTTGTTAAAATGCAGATTCTGATTGAGTGGGGTCTGGGCTAGGGCTGAGACTGCATTTCTAGCAAGCTTCCAGGTGATGGCAGTGCTGTGTTGGGCATGTCATCTCTTGAGTACTATTGTGCTTTTTTTTTTTTTTTTTTTTGTTGGAGTCTCACTCTGTCACCCAAACTGGAGTGCAG